ACGTATGTATGTATGTATGTATGCATGTTTGCATGTATGTATGTATGTATGTATGCATATATATATGTATGTATGTATGTATGTATGTGTATGTATGTATGTATGTATGTATGTATGTATGTATGTATGTATGTATGTATGTATGTATATATGTACGTATGTATGTATGTATGTATGTATGTATGTATGTATGTATGTATGTATGTATGTATGTATGTATGTATGTATGTATATGTTGTATGTATGTATGTATGTATGTATGTATGTATGCATGCATGCATGCATGCATGCATGCATGCATGCTGCAATGTGTGTATGCATATATGTATGTATGTATGTATGTATGTATGGATGTATGCGTACGTACGTATGTATGCTGTATACATGTACGTATGTTTGTACGTATGTATGTGTGCATGTATGTATGTATGTATGCATGCATGCATATGTGTATGTATGCATGCATGCATGTATGTATGTATGTATGTATGTATGTATGTATGTATGTATGTATGTATGTATGTATGTATGTATGTATGTATGTAGGTATGTATGTATGTATGTATGTATGTATGTCTTAGTATGGGTGTGTGTATCTATGTATGTATGTGTGTATGTATGAGAGAGCGTGATCCACCGCCGCTGTACTGTGGAACATTTCCCCCATCTTCCTCCAGAACTCGCTGCCCCCCCCTCCTTCGGACCCCTCGCGCTCGAACCCCCCCCCACTCCCCTTCCCTTCCCCCGGCAAAACCCCCCCCTGCCCTAACCCTTCCCCCCCTGGAAAACCGGCGGGGGGTCACTACTGGTTCGAACCCCCTCACATCCAGAAAACCGGGGAGAGTCATTACCTGTTCGAACCCCCCCCCCACCCCCACCCACTCGCCGCCAGCAAACGACACCTGGCCCCCCACAACCGTCCTCACCACCGCCCTCACAGCTGTCCCCACCACCACCGTCCCCACCACCACTGTCCCACTGTCCCCACTGTCCCCAATAGTGCCCCCACCACTGTCGCACTGTCCCCACTGTCCCCACCACTGTTCCCACCACGGTCCCACTCTCCCCACTTTCCCCACTGTCCCCACCACTGTCCCACCTCTTCTCTGTCCCCACCACGTTCCACTGTCCCCACTGTCCCCGCCGCTATCCCACTGAGCTGTCCCACTGTTCCCACCACTGTCACACTGTCCCCACTGTCCCCACCACTGTCCCCACTGTGCCAGTGTCCCATTGCCCCACCACCGTCCTCACCACTGCCCTCACCACTGTCCCCACCACCATCCCCACCACCACTGTCCCCACCATTGTCCCCACTGTCCCCGCCAATGCCCCCACCAGTGTCTCACTGTCCCCACTGTCCCCACCACTGTCCCACTGTGCTGACCCACTGTCCCCACCACTGTCCCACTGTCCCCTCTGTCCCCACCACACTTCCCCACTGTACCACTGTCCCATTGTCCCACCACCGTCCTCAACACCGCCCTCACCACTGTCCCCACCACTACCGTCCCGACCACTGTCGCACTGTCCCCACTCCCCCCACCACTGTCCCAGTGTCCCCACCACCATCCCCACCACCACCGTCCCCACCACTGATCCACTGTCCCCACTGTCCCCACCACTGTCCCACTGTCCCTGCACCACTGTCCCCACCACCACGGTCCCCACCACGGTCCCAATGTCCCCACCGCTGTCCCACTGTCCCGAGGAGCGGGAATCGTTTGCTGGCGGCGAGGGGGGTGGGGGCGGGGGTTCGAACCGGTATTGACCCCCCCTTTTCATGATGGACTGGGGGGTGGGGGGAGGAGGGAGGGTTCGAACCAGAAGTGACTTCCCCCAGTTTTCGAGGGAGGGGGGGGGGGACTGGGTTGGGAACCCCCAGTGACCCCCCCCTGTTTTCCGCCAGCAGCGGTAGAACACGCCCTTTTGTGTGTCGGAGGTGAGGGGGTGAGATCGAAGTGGAACGGAGAGCCCCCCTACCGGGAAATCGATTTCGGTTTCGTGTTCGTGCGTGCCGTGCGTGCGGGCGAGGCGAAGCTGCGTGGGCGGGCGGGAGAAAAGTCTCCTGTGGCTGAGGCGCGGCCGGACCAAATGACTCCCTTCTGGCAACCGGTGGCGCGCGGTGTCCCGCCGGTGTCCCGCCTCCAGCTGAGGCGCGGCCGGACCAAATGTCTCCCTTCCGGCGTCGGGTGGCGCGCGGTGTCCTGCCGGTGTCCCGCCAGTGTCCCGTCGGTGTCCCGATGATGATGATGATGATGATGATGATGATGATGATGATGATGATGATGATGATGATGATGATGATGATGATGATGATGATGATGATGATGATGATGATGATGATGATGATGATGATGATTGATGATGATGATGATGATGATGATGATGATGATGATGATGATGATGATGATGATGATGATGATGATGATGATGATGATGATGATGATGATGATGATGATGATGATGATGATGATGATGATGATGATGATGATGATGATGATGATGATGATGATGATGATGATGATGATGATGATGATGATGCTGATGATGATGATGATGATGATGATGATGAGGTCGATGATGTTGATGATGATGATGGTGATGGTGGTGATGATGATGGTGTCCCGATGTTGATGGTGATGATGATGATGTTGACGATGCTGATGATGATGATGATGATGATGATGATGATGATGATGATGGTGGTGATGATGATGGCCATGCTGGTGATGGTGATGGTGTCCCGATGATAATGATGTTGAAGATGTTGATGTTGCTGATGATGATGATGGTGTCCCGATGATGGTGATGTTGATGATCCTGATGATGTTGATGATGATGAGATGATGAGATGGTGATGCCGATGATGTTGATGGTGGTGGTGATGATGGTGATGGTGGTGATGATGATGGTGTCCCGATGATGATGATGATGATGATGATGATGATGATGATGATGATGATGATGATGATGATGGTGATGCTGATGATGATGATGATGATGATGATGATGATGACGATGGTGATGATGATGGTGATGATGATGGCCATGGTGGTGATGATGATATCGTCCCGATGATGATGTTGATGATGCTGATGTTGCTGCTGATGATGATGGTGTCTGGTTGATGATGATGCTGCTGATGATGATGAAGATGATGATGTTGATGATGATGATGATGGTTTCCCGATGATGATGGTGATGATGAGGTTGATGATGATGCTGTTCATGATGATGATGGTGATGATGATGATGGTGTCCCGATGATGATGATGATGATGATGATGATGACGATGATGGTGCCCCGATGATTGTGATGCTGGTGATGAGGATGATGATGAGGTGATGGTGATGATTTTGATGATGGTGGCCCGATGATGGCGATGCTGATGTTGATGATGATGATGGTGTCCCGGTGATCATGATGGTGACGATGATGATGGTGTCCCGATGATGATGATGATGTTGATGCTGCTGATGATGATGATGATGATGATTATGTTGCTGACGATGATGGTGTCCCGATGATTGTGATGTTGATGATGTTGTTCAGGATGATGAGATGATGATGGTGATGGTGTTCCGATGCTGATGATGATGATGATGATGATGATGATGATGATGATGATGCTGATGATGATGGTGTCTCGATGGTGATGATGTTGATGATGATGACGGTGACGATGATGGTGTCCCGATGATGATGATGATGATGATGATGATGATGATGATGATGATGGTGCTGATGATGATGATGGTGGTGACGATAATGCTGTTGTTGATGATGGTGATGGGGTGATGATGATGATGGTGTCCCGATGATGATGATGATGATGATGATGATGATGATGATGATGATGATGATGACGATGATGATGTTGATGACGTTGATGACGATGATGTTGATGATGGTGACGTTGATTGTGAGATCGGGTGTGAGATCTATAGCGAGATCGATCGTCAGACCGAATGTGAGATCGTTTGTGAGATCAATCGTGAGATCGATAGTGAGATCGATTGTGAGATCGATAGTCAGATCGATTGTGGTATCGATCGAATGAAACAGATCGAGTGAGATCGATAGTGAGACCGATCGAGTGAGATCGATCGAGCGAGACCGATAGTGAGATCGACAGTGAGATCGATAATGAGACCGATCGAGTGAGACGTTGGTTCCCCCCCCCCGAACCTCCTTATCACCCGAAGGGTGGTCGTATAGGTATTTATGTATGTACTTATGTATATATGTACGTACGTATGTATGTATGTATGTATGCATGCATGCATGTATGTATGTATGTATGTATGTATGTGTGTATTTAAGTATGAATAAACCATATATGTATATAGATATGCAGCCATGCAGACCGATCGTGACAACGATACATCTATTCACTTTGAATACAAGCGTACATACATACCGACATACAGGGACAGACAGAGACAGAGACAGAGACAGAGACAGAGACAGAGACAGAGACAGAGACAGAGACAGAGACAGACAGAGACAGAGACAGCGACAGACAGACAGAGAGAGCGAGACAGAGAGACAGACATACTTACATTCATACATACATGCGCACATACGCATAAACACATCATACACACATGCATCCACATCCACATCCACATCCACATTCACATCCTCATACACATACGCATACGCATACGCATCCGCATACACATTCACATACACCTGGGCATACACATCCACATCCACATACACACATCCACATACACATACACATACACATGCGCATACACATACACATACATACACATATACACATACACATACACACACTCCACATTTATGCATGCATGTGTGTATGTAATGTAATGCAATGCCATGTCATGCCATGCAATGTAATGTAGTGCAATGTAGTGCACTGTAGCGTAATGCCATGTACTGTAACGCAATGCAATGTAGGTGTGCACGCATGTATTGCTCTGGCGTGCCTGGTGTTCTCTGCGAAGGGTGGGACGGGAAGGCGCCGATGGCGAGGGCAACCGCGCTCGCTGTGTGTGCTCAAGCTTCAACAGGAGCCGGAAATGCCATCGCGCGCGGCCTGGCTCATAGGCACCTGTGCGCAGCTCCTGACTTCGTACTGGTGGCGCAGCCACCCCTGCCCCGCTTGCCCGGGGTGCCCCAGTGCTTCTTGCCCTTCGTTTCCGAGTGCGAGCTGCCCGACCTGTCCGAGCTTCAGGTGTCCCGACGCGGCGTACCCCTTGCAGGCCGGCGGTCCAGCCGGCGGAGGCCCCGCGCCCGCGCCGGTGCCTCCACCCCCCGCGGCCGAGGCCGAGGAGGCAGTGCCCGAGGGGCCGAGCCCTCGGGCTGCCGCAGCGGCGCCCGAGCCCACGGCCACGCCTGAGGTCGCCCAGGAAACCTCGGCGCCGGGGTCTGGCGGGGCGGCGTGGGGCGCGTGGCTGGCTGAGCTGGCGCTGCTGGGGTTCAACCTGCTGTTCCTCGGGCTGCAGGTGATACGCGTGGTGGTGGTCAACGGCTGCAGCCGCCTGTGGGCAGGCGGACGCCGGCGTCGGCCTGCTCGAGCGTCTCTGACTGATGACCGTGCCGCCGCTCCACGACGTGACGGCTTGGGCGTGGGTGCTATACGCCGGAGAGCGGAGGTGGCACCAACGCCGGGTCTGGGGCCGCCTGGCGGACCCGCCAGCGGCGGCGCCGGCGGCTCCAGCACTTCTGCTTAGTACCCCCGACCTGGACGTCTACCAGGAAGACTACGGACGTGGCAGCCTGGACATCCTGGCCGTGAGGTACGGCGCTAGCCGCAGAGATCGTTGTGGTATCGACCCGGTGCAGACCTACGGGTTCAGGCGGAGGCTGACGGCGGCGGACGAGAAGGTCATCAGCGCTGCCTTGACACAGGTGGCGGACGAGGAGTACCTGGCTCGCGAGACCGCGGCCAGGCGACCTCCGGTGCTGCCAGGCTCGGGGGCGCTGTTGCTGTTCGACTTCAGCCAACTCGCCGCGGCCGCTGGGGCCATCGTGCCCGCCGGGCCCGCCGCTCCGGGGGCGCCCGAGGCCGCAGGCCTTGCTGGGGTGGCCCCCGCCCTTGGGCCTGCGCTGGGCGCGCCCGGACTGGCGGGGGCCGCGCTGGGCGCGCCTGTGGCGGCGCCGCCGCCGGCAGCAGCTGGCGCGGGGGCGGGAGCCGCTACCGGCGGGGCCGCCGGGGCAGTGCCTGGGCTCTTCGCGGCTCCAGCGGCGGCCGAGTGGGTGATGACGTAGAGCACCACCGCCGGGATTCGCGGGACTGTCGTGCAGCAGAACGGGACGGAGAAGCTCGTCGGCGACGTGGGCATCATCAAGACCGACCAAGGCTGGATCGGGATCAGGCGTGTCGACGTCGACCTGACAATCTACGCTGGCGCTGTGGCTGGGCTGGATGCTCGGCTGATGGGTCTCCCGCTGCAGGCGGATGGCCATCGGACCCGGTTGCAGTTCAGGGGCGCCGTCGCCAAGTTCGTGCAGACGCCGTTGCCAGGATGGCCCGTTGAGGGGCCGCGGTCGGCCGCGTGGTGCTTCGTGTTTACAGATCGCCGCCGCGGCGGACCGCTCGAGCACTTCTCCCAGTTCAAGAGCCAGTGCCACCTGACCAACGACGACTACGGCGTGGCTCACTACGAGAGCATCATGACCATGATTGGCTTCTTGGCTTGCTGGGATCAGGTGAACCTCCCCGAACTCGTCGGCGTGGAGGTGGCGATGCGGCAGGCGCAGCTGTACGAGTACGTGTATGCGATGGAGGCCGAGGGTTCTCTTCATTCGGCCCCCCAGGCGAACGAGGACAAGTCGAAGAGGGGGCGGGGTCGTGGCGGTCGAGGCTTCGCTGGGTTCGCTTTTCTGGACGAGACCTCGGTCTTTACTGGCGCGTCGCGGGAGGACGGGAGGATGATGGTGTGTCCGGACCTCCTGCACCACGTGTCGGCCATGGTCGAGAGGGACGCGGGGATCCTCAAGGCGCTGCGTAAGGCCAGGGAGGAGCGCCGCGCCCTCGCGGGTCAATGGGAGCTGACGGAGGTCCCTCGGCCCGCTCGAAAGGCATCAGGGGGCGTCTCCAGACCTCCCCGCTGGAGACCGACATGTACATGGGGAGCCTCTTCTCGTCCCTGGAGATAGTCGCCAGCGCGATGTTTTTCCTTTGCCTCGACGCCCTCTTCCCTCGCCCATCTTTTCGAAGATCCAGAAGAATGCGACTTTGACCCGGTCTGCGGTTCGACGGCTACGCAAGCACCAGCACCGAGGCGACTATGTCAACGAGCTCGTGGTCGTGCTCAATGAGATGTACCTTGGTCTTGGGGGCTCCGCTGGCCTTCCCCGGCGTGGGCCTGATCAGCCGCTGCTCGCAGTCCACGCCGCGGTGCGCCGGGAGCTCGAGACGGCCGTCCGCCGTTTCGGCGAGCCCCCGGTGGACCTCGAGGGCCCTTGCGGAGCCCCGGGTTTCCCAGGCGTGCCACGGGGGGGCCGTGGCCCTCGCCCCGGTCGGCTTCGACAACGTCGACCGCTTCTTTCTGCCGGCAGCTTCGACAAGTCCGAAGGGCCTGGGGGCTCTCGCAGGGGATGTGGGCTGGAAGATCGCCGACCGTTTGGAAGAATGGTTGTTGCCCCGAGAGCTGGGGTTGGAGCGTGTGCGTGCTGATGGGGCCACGTCGTCTGTATGTGGATCCCAACCTTTGTAATCCAAAGCTTTGCAAGCGGGTGCTTCGGCGTCTCGTGGAGGCCAACCTGGTGAGCTTCCACCCTATGTGCGAGTGCTCCGTCGGGCTCTTCTTTGTTGTGCACAAGAAAAGTGGCGATCTGAGGATGATCTTGGATGGCCGTTACTCGTCTCTCCGATTTGGTGAAGCTGATATGGTAGAGCTCGCGTCGGGCGGTGCCTTCAGTCAGGTCGTTGCGGATGGGGGCGCTCCCATCTCTGTTGCGTGCGTGGACATGGCGGATGCCTTTTGCAGCGTCTTGCTTCCTCCCTGGCTTCAAAAATACTTCGGCTTGCCTCCCGTCAAGCTAGGTGGCTTCAATCATTTCCTCGGTGGCAGGTGGGTCCGCAGTCAGCCCGAGACAGCGAGTCATCCCTTGTTTTCGTTGCCCCCCGATGGGCTGGGGCGCGAGCCTGTGGATTTGTCAGGCGATCAGCGAAACTACCAGTTCAAGAGTTCAAGGTATAACTACTCATAACCTTCTAGTCGGTCGGCGTCCCGCACCAGATCTCGCTAAAGGGTTTGTTCATACCGAATACGTCGACAACTTCGTGGCTCTGTCTCTTTCCACTCGTGCCGCAGGTGACGCGGCCCGAGCTGTTGATCGTGAGCTCAAACAAATCGGTCTTCTTACCCGCCCCGTAGAGGAGGGCATCGGGGGCAGCGCGTTGGGCCGGGAGTTCGGGGCCGCCGACGCGGTCGCTGGCCTCGACCCTCGTCTTCGGTGGCGGCTTCGTTTCGGATTCAGCACATTCTCGATCAGGACCGTTGCTCGGGGGACACGTTGCGTAAGGTCATCTCGCACTTTACCTCGCGGGGCCTCATCCGCCGGGAGCTCTTGGGTGCTCTAGGGGCCGTGTGCGCCTTCAACGGAGTTGCGGGTCCTCGTTGTCTTAGGCTCTGGGGGGCAGTTCGTCGGGAGTTACGCTGGTGCTTCAGGAGTGCAGGCGAGCCCGTCAGCAACATTGTGTCTTGCGTCGACGCTTCGTGGTGGGGAGTTGGGATCACCGAGAAGTCCGTGCCTGCCGCTGCCGCTGCCGAGCTGTCGTCGTTCAACGAGAGGTGGGGTCTCGGTAAGCGCTCGGCGAAGTCGGTCGCGCCCCGGGAGTTCGACATCGGCAGGCGGGAGGACGAGGCGGAGTCTCTGGGCCAGCAGCCCATCTCCCAGGAGTCCATCAAGGTGCCCCCCCGGAGGCATTGTTCAAGAACGCCCCTACAGTGGTTTGGGGAGGTGTCTGGGAGCGGGTCCTGTCCAAGCCATGGGGCCGCGCGGGGGGCCAAGTCATCCTAGACGGAAGGGCCCTGGTGAGCTGTCTCAAACATCGCCTTCGGGCTGTCGGTAATTTCGGGACCGCCCGCATCGTGCTACGACTCGATGGCCCCTCTGTTGGCAGTGCTCAAAGGCCGCTCGTCTTTTGCCCCTCTCCAGCGGATCTGCCGCCAAGTTGCCGCCCTTTCTCTGTGCAGCGGCGGCGGCGTGGCCTGGCGCTGGGTCCCGTCCGAGCACAGCGGCGCGGACCCAGCCTCGCGGAATCGCCCTGGGCTGACGGCCCAGGAAGACCTCGCTGGGGCCGGCGATGGCGGGCTCGGCGACCCTGCAGCTGCTGTCGGGCGGGCTTGCCCGGGGCCGCCAGCTCGCGGCAGCCCCTCCGTCGGCGTCGAGCCGCCGCCGGGCCTCGGGCCCCCGCCAGGCCTCGACGTCAGCGGGCCAGAGACTGCGCGGTCGAGGTCGCCCCGCGGGGCCGTGGAGAGCGACGGACGAGCGATGGGCGCCTGCGACGCCGCCAGGGCTACAGTCAGGACGTCGTGCCGTCGGCGGGCCAAACCCAGACGTTTCTGGGGGCGGAGTCGGCGTCGGCGCCCACTCGCCGAAACTGCGTGAGACGGGCCCAGGACTTCAACCGCTGGGCCCAGCTCCGACGCCTCCCGCTGGAGCCGATGCCGCAGTTGGACGACGCCCTGGTGGTGCACTTCCACGAGCAGTTCCTGGGGGGCGGGGGGGGCGCCGACGCGTGGAAGCTGTTCGCGGCGCTGGTGTTCACGGGCTGCTCCTTGGGCCTCAAGTACTGCGGCGTGCCGCGGGTGATCAGAGCTGCTCGCGGCTGGCGACGACTGGATCCTCCTCGATTGACTGCCGCTCCCATGGGCGGCATGTTGCTTGATCATCAGGCAGTTGATCGCGATAGAGAGCGGGCGATCGCCGAACTGACGGCCGTGGCGTTCGCACTGTACCTGAGACCGTCCGAGGCGTTATCCGTGGCCACCGACGGCCTGGTGCGACCGTCGGCCCTTCATGGAGGGCCTCATGGGGCGTGTAGTGTGACTCTCCACCCTCGGGGGGCGGGCGTGCCCAGCAAGGCGGGTGTGTGCGGCGACTCGCTGCTGATCGACAGCCCGGCCTTCCCTTGGCTGCCCCAGCTCGTGGCCAAGCTGCTGCGCCCCCGGTCGCCAGGTGCCGGGCTGTTCGGCGTGAGCTACAGCGCGTGGAACGCCAAGTTCGCGCAGGCGGCCCGGGCCGCCAGGCTGCAGCAACTCCTGCCGGTGACGCTGCGCCAGCTGCGCCGCGGCGGCGCAAGCCGCGAGCTGCTGGTGAGGGCCCGCCCACAGGACGTGGTCCAAAAGCGAGGGCGGTGGGCCACGGACCAGGCGGTCCGCCGCAACGCGAAAGGGGGTCGGAGCCAGGAGCAGCTGGACGCCTTGCCCACAGCCGCTCATGACGTGGCGAGAAGGTGCATGTCCACGATTGGCGCCGTCCTCTGCGCGAGTTAGCCTCGTTCGTGAACTCGTCTAGCCAGCCCGTGATGCTGGAGGTGTTCAGTGGGGGCGGCAACTGGTCCCGCTCCGTCCGCTTTTGTTTCGGACGAGGTGAAGTGTCATGTTTCGATCTGGGCATCATACATGATCCCTCAGCCGACCTACTCACTCGTCGTGTACAGCGTCTCGTTTGAGGATGGATCCGTGCAAAGATGATATTGGGAGTTTGGAAAGCTACGCCCTGCCAGTCGCTTTCGAGAGCGCGCAACCGACCCAACGGACCCCCTCCTCTCCGAAACGCTGAACACCCCCTGGGGCTCCAAGGACTGAGCCCTGCTGATGCCCTGAAGGTTTCACGAGGAAACGCTCAAGCCCGTTTTAGCTTTGGTTTGTTTTCATTCTGCAGGTTCCTCAGGATCCCTGTAGTGATCGAGAATCCGTCAACGTCGTGGCTGTGGAGCCTCCCGGGGGCCCTCGTTCGCGCCCGTCTGTACAATGTTCGAGACGTTGACGTTGATTTCTGCGCCTTCGGCGCCCCGTGGAGAAGACGCACTAGGTTACGTTTCTGTCACTTCGACTTGGGCGGCCTCCAAGAGGCCCGCTGTTCGGGCCGCGGAATCTGCAGTTGTTCGAAGTGCCCCCCACAAAGTGTTAGAAGGCAAAGATGAACCAGGTAGGTTTTGGACTAACGTGGCGGAGCTATATCCCCGTGGTCTCTGTCTAGATCTAGCTCGAGCTTATAAACAAGCCTTGCGGAACAAAGCG